TCGACTCGAACACGCAAATAAACACATAAAAAATTAGCACAAAAACATAACAAACAGAAACTCAATAACAATGTTGTTATCTTTAGTGAGTTGTGAGATGCTAAGAAGATTCTTGGTGATGTGAGGCACAAGAAGAATGTTATTTAGAAGATAAGGATAAGAAGGATGTGTAGAAAGCGTTGAAGATCCAATGTGGGAGATGGGAATTTTAGAACCATTGCCAACAGTGACCTGTCCTTACCATGATATGGTGCAACGTGAAGCGATAAGTTCTCAAGGTTTGCTGTGAGATGATTTGTAGCTCCACTGTCAAAGTACCATATAGTGCCCCAATCGTCTATTAAGAGGCACCTTATTTTAATTTAATTTATTCATTTTATTGTATTTGTTTTTCTATGCTCGACTAAATTCTTTGAGATTATTTAAACGTCCTCGTCTATTTAATTCTTAAGTTAAATTAATTAGGGATAACTACCTCTCTCTCTCCTCATTTTCACTCTTAGGAAAACAAGGGCTCCAAGAATCAAATTTTATTTATTTAATTCTCTGTCACGATTACAGTTTTTTATTTTTTTATTTTTTACTTGTGCATGCAACTGGAGATTTGGAGACTTAATCTAAGGTTCAAGATTTCGTAAGTTACTTCGATTTTGCTTAGTTATAATTTTGGGGTATTTTATTAAGTAAAGTTTGGAAGTTTCATGAGTAAAATATGTTATCATCCTCAAAGAGTAAGAACCATGTAGTTTTGTTGTTGATTGCGTAAGCGGGAATTGATTAATAGCTTGATTAGTTCGTTGCTAGTGATGACTATTTGATTCTATGTTCTCGAACCTGTTTGGTATCTCCTTTCCATCTTGGGTTTTGGCTTGCTTAGTCCTTTCTCTTGTATTTTCCTTTTTACTGTGAATTGAGGATTTACTTGCACTTGATTTAACTTAATTTTATTCACTTGTGATTAAAACAAGCATCAATCGTGCAACTACAGTGTTCAAAACTTTATTATTTGTTTTCTTGAATCAATCGTTTTGGATCCCATTCTCTTCTTTGGAGAGACGATTTGAGGTTGGTATTCACGATCATACTTCGTGAAGGTGAGTAGGCATTGGATATAGACAAATGATTTCTTTTTTTTTTTTTTGTTTGTTTGTATCACGGTTGTTTTTTTGTGAAATTACTTGATTTTTCATGTTTCTCTATATTATTTTTCCTGTTTTCCCTTTCTCTAGGCATTTTGGTGTTTGTGCTTTTGTGAATATTGTTTTGTTCTTTACGTTTTTTTTTTCTTTCTTTGTGGGTGTGTTTTTACCGTATTTTGTATTTTTTTCTTTTCTTAGTCTCGTGTGTTATATTTGTTGTTCTTGTCCGAGGTAATTCGCTTGAGGATCCCATATGGACTCCTACCGCTGTTACGCTGGAAGCACGTCTCGTGGATAACCCAACAACTACCAAGAGGAGATATTCCCACCGTATATAGAGCCACCCTATTTGTATCCAAGCTATCAACTTTCTTGTTCTTGTGACGGATACTCTACATCATGGGTATGGTCTGGATCATTTTTACAGGCATCTTGAGTTGACTATGATTATGACGCCTTGGGCCACGAAGAGCCGACTTACAATCCTCCACCTCTGAACTACTACCATTCGTCACCTCCCGATTATTGCGTGTCAACGCCTCCACCCGAAAAATATGGATAAAATATTGAGGTAGAAAAGAAAAAAGAAAAAGATAGAAAGCGCTTATTCGACTATTCGATCTCTTCCTTAGCGGCTCTCTCGCTCGTCTTGCACTTGTTCATACCATCCAAGAGTGTCCAAAATATACAACAAGACATGCCCTAATGTCTCCTTATCATAGATTTGGGTCGAATTCTCGTTAAAATAGGTCGAAAAATACGTCCAAAAAAAAAAGAAGTTCAAACTAACTAAGTCACACGAGTTATATGATATTGGATCAAGCTCCGCACAACTCGTGTGATCCAACTGTCGAATCATGGAAAAACTCGTGCCCAGATGCTACACGAGCCGGGGTGGTATTAACCCAAAATCACACGACTCATAGAACCTCCATAACTTCATTCGGCAGTCGTCCGAATTTGAATGTATGTCAGCATTGTATAATTGAGTGTGTGTTTTATGTACTCTACTCTAATGAACTATGCGAAGTAATGTTTTTATCGATGTGTGCACTTTCCCATTAGCTCCCATCCTCATTTCAACTACATATTAAAAGTACAACCTAATAAATATTAAACTTAAAATGAATCTCCCACATCACCCTTATTATAAATAATTTGTTATATATATTGACATATTATGAAACTGAAATTATATCAAAATACGACTATTGTCTATCTTAATGTGAGAGACATAGTTATTAGACTACATAATTATATATGTGTGTACATATATCCGTACCAAAGTTACCATTTATTATATTTTTATATCATTTTGATATATAACCCACTAAAATAAATTAATGTACACATACAAGTATGTGTCATATCATATCATACTAATAATATAGATTACAGATGATGGAATAAATAAATAAATAATATCGATAAATTTCATGGGCCTTATCCGAAAATGACGTTAAATCCTATTAACCTTTTTCATATCCCCTTATATAATTCTCGAATCTCCTGAGCTTACATAGCTGCTTCTGATGTTTCCGAATCTTACTTGACGAAAATTCATGTTTCGTAATTAGGTTTGAATAAATAATATTAATATATTAATATTAATAATTAATAATCTAGGTTCGGACATTCCATAAATATTATTTAGCTAACTTACGTATTTTAATATCACTTGTACTAATATAACCCTTTAATACTTTGTAATTTTACATAGTGAGGCACTAAGTGACTAATATATTTTGACTTTTGATTTTTTTTCCTTCAATTAGCTATTGAATTGTAAATAAAATTGATATATAACTTTTAGATTTTTTATGGTTTTGCATATATAATATATCAAATTAATCATCTTTTGATGATCTTCGATTTGACATCCATATTGTATAGATGAAATAAATATATTATATTTATCTTTATAATAATAAAAAATAATAAATTTATTAAAATTCATTAGAAAAATAAATTTACTTCTCAATTGATATATATATATATATATATATATATATGTCTAATGTAGTTATATGTTGTAAGTTAAAAAAATATGATAATATAACATAGGCAAATCGCACAAATAAAAAGTGTTATACTAAATATATAATAGTATATATACTTTTTATAAAAAATATTTAAATTTTCAATTAGTTTTTTTTATTAATTTTAAATTTTAAAAAAAAATAGCAAGCACACGTAAAACGCCGTAAACACTTAAAAGTGATGAAGACAAATGTCAGTCGTAGGAAGTAACACGCGTCTTCTGATAGGCTAAAAAACATAAATGAAAAGGTTTAATAATAAATTCAAAAGTCAAAAGGACCAAAGGGACCAAATCATTGTTGATGGTATGAACCCGTGTGAATCCCAACACTAATTCTGTGGATTAAAAAAAGATTCCTTAACTCTAAATAAATACGACTAAAAAATGAAAAAAAAAATAATATAAAAATGACGAAATGATGATGTTATCATCAGTTCATTTATTGTAAAACTTTACTACAATTTTTTAAATATATATTTATATTAATTATTTTACATTAGTATCTATATATATAATTATTTTATATTGTGATGTGTAAACAATCTCGACCGAGCTCGAACTACCTGAACTCGCTCTCGATCAGTTCAATAGACATGTAAAACAACGTTG